GGTGTAAGGTGTTCTTGTTATCGCCAACCCTCCCTCGCTCGAGGCACAAATCTGCTCAAGCGCTCACAGGCGACACGCGGTTCCGTAGAACCTGTCCTGCCCCCAAACGGGAATGAATTTCTCTGGCCGGACCGCACGACCGCACGCACCGTCAATCACTTCGGCAGTATCTGCCCTCTCTGCCTTGGAAGGAGGGGGTGGTTGCGGAGGGAGAGAGGAAAGGGGGGGGGGGGTAAGGGAGAGAGAGAAAAGGGGGGGGGGTAACACTACCGCTGCGGCTACAACACAACTACTCCCGTTGGGCGAGGAGAGCAGCAGGTTCGTTCACGTAGTGCAGTTATCCTCACAGCTGACTCCTCGCTGGAGTTCATGACCTCCCCCTCCCCTCCCCCGCTTCTCTCTCGCTCGCGCAGAGCCTCAGCACTCTCCTGTCGGCAGCAGGGACAAGCCCGTCCTGGGGGCGGGGCGGCAGCGCGCAAGGGGGGCGAGGCGGGGCGAGGCGGGGCGAGGCGGGGCGAGGCGGGGCGAGGCGGGGCGGGTGAGAATAGAAAGTGCTGAAAGCAGAGCGCGCCGGGCCGCACCAAGGCTGCGCTATGGACTGCACTGGGCGGCTGCGCGGCGCTCCGTGAGGGTCCTTGACCGGTTGACAGTTTGTCGGCTCCGCCCCCCGGGGGAGTCCCTAGGTCCATTCCTGGTCCCGCCCTTGCAGTCCCTTACATACAGCCCGCACCACGCTAGCGGAGCTCCGCGCCCGTAAAATAACAATAAAGAAACGCACGCACCCCCGCTCTTCATTCCCATTTTGATCGCGAGTCCTGCGGGAGCCGAACTCGAGCTGGCGGGCCGGGGCGGGGCCCCGAGGTTCAGGACCGCGCGGCCGGCGGCGGCCGGTGTGGGCCCGGTGCCCGGTGCGTGTGGCGGGTCGCGCGGCGCCGCGAGACGCCGACGCCGACCGCCGACGCCGCCAGCCGCCAGTTTGGTTCGGTTCGACGACCGGGCTGGCCGCCGGGACCCGGTGTGAGCGAGCGTGCCGCCGCGGCCGGACGGCCGCAGGGCCGCAGGCACTGGCAGAGGGGCGGGGCATCGACACACTGGAAATGCAAGTGTGTGAATGTCGCTCACCTGCAGGTGAGCGACATTCACACACTTGCATTTCCAGTGCATCGACAGCTCCTCCTCGACGACTAGGCACTTCGGGCTCATCTACGGGCACTGACATTTACCGACAGAGCAAATTAAAAGCACTGCTCTTAATT